TGAGCAGCTACTGTGCAGCTGTCAGAGTTGTGCCAGTCTCTGCTAGCCACCAGCTGCCCTCTGGAGAGCCCCTTTGCCAGCAAAGAGCTGGGGCTACTCCGCGCTCTGGTCTTATGATTGCTAAATATAGAGCCCATTGATAAATAACATAAATGCATGAAGGGCACAAGAACCAACAGTTGTTGCAGTTAGCTAATACAGCCTTTTCCTCTGTTCTTTTGCCTGTGTCTCTGTGGCCTTTCAACATCACCCTTTGCATTTTGAGTAGATATCTCTGCACACCAGATTCATACTCAGTTCTCATTGCAAGAGTGACCAGGATCAGGCCTTCAGCATGTAATTCAGCCCAGAAAAATGATTCTGTAAGAAATAAAGTCTTGTCTGGCAACTGATGCTGTGGTCACTCTCTGCTTCCACCCATCAATGTTGTCTGGTCTGCTGCCATCGTTTAATAGCCCTATTTGCTGAGTTGAAGCCAGTTTGGGGAGCTAAGCCACAAACTTGCCTGCTGTAGGTTTGCACAGCTATTTCCAAGGCTCTAATCTGGCCAGCAGAAACTTAATTTCCTCGTGTTTTGTTAGGACTAATAAAGTCTCACCTTTCCTCAAAACTTGTAGACTGAGTGCATCTGACATGGAAATACGTGCAAGATGGTGAGACCTCAAATGTGAAGCCTGTACTCCTAAATTAATGGTGATCTTAATGGGAATAATTCCATTCAAGGGAAGTGTCAGATAAAATGAGTCTATTTCCCTAGGTAAGTGTGTTCTTTTATAAAGCTCTGCTGATCCTTGCCTTTCTAGAAACCAAATTGGCAGTCTCCTTGTTTCCCAGCCAAATTCCTCATCCTAGGCCTGGAATATGTCCTGAAAAATATTTCTAGAGAATCTCCTGTTATAAATAACCTGGAGGAGGGAAGTATTCTATGCATCCTTCCTAGAACAGAGAGCACTAGGCTGCAAAAGGGTATGAAGAAAGGGTTGATCTCTTGTACTAGAGGAGAAAAAATATCTTGATTTTGAAGCTGTTTGCAGTGTGTGCTCAAGATGAGTCACATGAAAGGCAAATTGAGATAAGAGAAAAGACTCCTGAAAGAAAACGACTGATGTTAATCTCTGTATCCCTGCTTACATGGTCTTTGCTGTAGAAATAAAAGCACTGAACTTCCCTGTAATGTCTCCTTCTTAAAATGTGCAGCACCACCAGTTCCCCTGAGCTTCCTCTCTGTGCCCTCACTGTATGTTCTCTATGCATAAAGCCTTTCAGGAGGTTTTTCCTTTGTGACCTGTTTATAGAGGGTGCTCATGGTCACCCTGTCCCAGCCCTCCTACCGCTGTTAGAGCTACACCATGTCCCATCTCTAGCCACACTGGCTCTGAAGTAGTCATATGTAACTTTTATCACGTTTCTGTAGTTGCATGTGAATATCACTAGATGTCCTCTACTGCTAAGTAGCTTTACCGTGGTTTGTGCCAAGCACCAGAGAAACTCAGTGAAATCAATCTCAGTTGTTAAAGATGTCTATTTTATAGCTTCGTTGTTCCTAGTCCGTAGATGCACAGCAATATTGCTCATCCATAGCTGGAAGCAGTAATCTGCTACCTCTGCCCAACTGTACTTACAGTGACAGCAAAGCTACTATATTGGTTTCTTTCAGATTTGGAGCCAACTGGCAGTGGTAAGAGCACCTCAACTTTTTCCTCTGCAGCTCACTGGAGACTGAACCATCAGACAGCGTTCAGGCTTTGGTCTCCTTGCGCTCTTCTCCAAATCCAACACAGCCTGTGGGGCTGTGCTCTAGCAAGATCTGACACAATGCAGAATGGTGCATACACCTCTGCAGGGCACAGCCAGGTAGAGCTCCCGTCTCTAGCACAGCCCAGCTGCCCTCCAGGCAGCGATGCCAGCAGCACCTTGGATTAGCTCATGAGACAACCACTGCATCCTCTCAAACCCCATCTCCATCTTCTAACTTCCCTGCAGGGACGTGGCACTGGCAGGAACTGCACAGACAAAAATCCTACCTCTTGCACTGTTCCTGCAGAGAAAACATTACTTTTTTTTGGTGCAAACAATCCCTGCCTTGCTGTAGTGCTGTGCAAGCCCTTGTGCTTGCAGCTACCTGCTGAAGACCTGGGGCAAAGGAAGCATCCCCAGCAGCCCAAAAGGCAGCTGGCAGCAAAACAAGCCAAGAGGCTCATGCTGCACTAACCCACTCAGCTTTAACATGGGATAATAAACAGCCACATTCATTTAGACCTAATAGTGAAATATTATGCTATATAAATAATGTGTCCTCTGATTTAGAGGGAGCTTGCCTGAAGTACAATGTGACCTGAGCGGTTCAGAGATTGTATGGTCACTTTAATCTATTCACTGAAGCTGAAACAGACTGGAAATGTCATGTGCTTAAATCTGTATGGGGGGAAAATGTTGGCTGAAATTTTAAGACACTCCTTTCTTTTAGCTTTGCGTTTGGTTCCACAGTTTGAAGCGTCGCCCATCCTGCACTCACATCCCCCCAGGGAGGGCTGGTAAAGGGGAAGTTCTTCATGCCTCTGCCTCTGCTGTCAAACTGAACGTGATGTTTTGTTTGAGGGCTCCTTGGGGTGACTCAGCAGGATACAAAAATGCACTTAAATAGGAGTTGTATTGTATAAGCGCTCAACCACAGCAGCAATTCCCCTTCAGCAATGTTGTTAATGAATACACACTACAAGAAATTTAATGCTGCTCCAGATACTGGCTGGAATTGAAAGAGGACTTTTTGGCTTTCCTCCTTACATAACTGTAGTATTTCTTATGAACAGGAAGGCTACTGAGAACTGACGAATAGCCTGGATACCTGATATACAGGAACCAGGCCATGGGCTTCTCCTCTCAAATGTTACAGACTTTGGTATGAAATGCATCAGAGATCTTCAGGTTTGGGGGTTTGAGTGTCTGAATATTGGGCTTGGTTTGCAAATGCAGTTATCTCCACAGAAGCAGAAATGTGCCTGCTCTGAAGGGCAATCTGTTTAAGATGCCCAAATACAAAGATGCTCAGATTTAAAGATCTAAACCTGAAATCTTTGGCCTACCAGTCCCAGGACTGATGTCCCCGCAGCAGTTAGTGACAACATTTCCACACTTCGAGGGTGTATAAATAACCTCTGCGCAGCTTTGCCAGTTCTGCCCTCACTGGTTGCAAGATGTGCTGATAGCAAAAACCAGATTCCTCATAGCCAGTCACCTCCATCACTGCACTGCCCTGGGAAATCCCCCTCCATCCCAATCTGCCCTGGCAAACTGAGGAGACTTTTGTACTAGAAGGAAAATTTGTAGCCAACAGAGAAGCAGAGTTTCACATCAAATTCCAGTGTAAATATCTGACTCTTGTTGACAAACATGTCTTACAGACCCAGCTGTTGATTTATGTGAACAAAACACCTCTATCCCACGCTTTGGTTGGGAAAGCCTGTGGGACTCCTCCTGGACATGTCTCCTGTGTTTCCCGATGGGGTGAGATCAGTGGAGAATATGGAGGGTCAGCAGTCATGGGGGCCACAGCCAGGTGTGCTATGGCAGCTTGCTGTGGGTCTGCTCCCTCTTCACCTCCTCCATGCCACTGGACCGATGAAGATTTTGAGGCAGGCACTTGTGTATCTTGTTTGTGAAATGGCAGTGTGCTCCTCTCTGCCTCTTACTTATGCGGGAAAGACAGCGTGGAGGTTGTCCTGTTTCATGCATGCTGCAGCGTGGGACCAGACTGCCTTGGGTAGTACCTTTTGGGGGAGCAGTGGAGTGTAGTAATGCTAATTTGGCACAGGAGGGGAGCTGGGGCTGTTTACTTGTGTTTAAGAACCATATCAAATGTACGTCTTCTTTGCACAGCAGCAGGGAGGCGGGCCCTGAACCAGGAAGGTAAATCAGCAGGTGCCTAAATGTAGCCCTCTGAGATGCTCTGGGCGCTTGACATGTCCCTGAGCACCCCACAGGGTTGTGCCCAAGATAATTCCATGGTAGGACATGGGCACAGCCAGCCTGGCCCATCCTTACTGCCATGGATTATTCCTACATAGGCATTGCCAGCCTTCTCTGTGAGGGCAACGTGTCAATGAGTGCATGCCCATGCAGGAGCAGGACTTTTGCTCTTCTCTGATGCAAGGTGTGAGGTGGCAAAGGAGCCCACAGGTGAGATGCGAAGTGATGCTTTGTTTCTGTCTCCCAGTGCCAGCCAAGAGCACGAAGGAGAAGTAGGAAAAGTAACCACTGCACACGTGTTCCCAGAATCCCATCTAGGATGAGCTCCGGTGTATTAAACGCAAATTCTGCTATTGCAATAAAAGTCGATGAGGTTTGGTGGGAGGGGGGAATGTGGTGGGAGTAGGGCTGGTGCGCGTATAGCAGCTGGTTCTCAAAGGCTCGGTGTGTGCTGTGCTCATGTGGCATGAACGGCTTTTGTATCATCCCGTGCCCTCCGGCTGCTGCCCCGTCCATCAGGCAGAGAACCGGCTGTTCACTCTCCTCCTCCTCCGCCTCCTCCTCCTCGTTTCCTGGCGGCGGCACAAACCCCCACGGCCCGGAGGGTCGCTCCGCTCCCCCTCAGCCACATCCCCGCGGGGCCGGGGGTGCCGGGCGGGGAGAGCCGGGCCGAGGACCGGCCCCAGCGGCTTAAGGTGCCGCGGCCGCTCCCGCCCCGCGGTTCCACCTTAACGCGGCGGCGGCGGCGGACGGGCCCATTGCCGCGCCGGGGGTCGGCGAGCCCGGGCCCCCGGGAGCCGCCCCGCCGCCCGCGCCCGCCGGAGAGCGGCACCGACACGGGTCCAAAGTGACAGACACGTCTTTGCCGCCGAGCCGCAGGTGATGGCGGGTCCCCGCACCGCCGCGAAAGCCCCTCCGGCGGCGCCCGGCCCGGCCCCCGGCGGCGGGGCCGGGCTATTTATAGCAGCCGCGGCGGCGATATAAGGGATGGCCGGCGCGGGCTGCGCTGCCGCGGCCGCCGGGGCGAGAGCGGGTGGGGGCCGGCCGCGCTGCCCGGCCGCGGGCGCCTCTCGGCGGGCAGGGGCGGGCGCTGAGGGCGCGTCCCGCAGCCCGGGTGAGCGGGCGGGGAGCGGGCTCGGTGCGGGGCTGTTCTGTTCTGTTCTGTGAGCGGCGCGAGGGGGACACGGCCAGGCGAACAATAACCCGCAGTTCGTTCCGCCCGTGCCCCGCGGGGTGCGGGACAGCGCCGCGGCACTCGCGGCGCTCCACGCGTGACAAGCCCGCGGGAGGGGCGGGACCGCCGTGACACCCGGCGGTGACCGCGGCGGGGCTTCCCCCTCGCCTCTTCTCCTCTCCTCTCCCCACAGCGATTCCTGTCGAAATGCGGCGCCCCGCGCTGGCATGAGCCCCGGGGCCGGGAAGAGCGCGCCCCGGGCACCGCCGCTTTCCCTGGGCAGGGCTCCGTGTCGCGAAGGAAGGGCTGTCGCCGGCCGTGGCCGCGGAGCCGCCGCTCGCAGCAGCGCCGGACGCGGGACGGACGGTACGGGGGCTCCGTGCGGCGGGTGGGCTGCGGGCCCCGGGGGGCTTCCCTTCCCTGCCGACCGCTGGGAAGAAAAGGGAGTGTATGGCGCAGTACTCGGAATGCTGTGGGGTCCGCGTCTTCTGGGTGTGCGCGCTGAGGAGAGGGGTCGCTCTGAGTTACGCTGTGTAATGGAAGGTCTTTGTAAGTTGAGGGTTTGTTAGGATTTGGCTTGTATCAGGGGTGTTCCCCCCCCGCCACGGATTCAGAGCTACGATAACGTTTTACTTTCCTACCCCGTGTGTGTTCTGATCTGATCTGGGTATGGCGAGGTTTCTTATCTTGCATTAAAACTGCTGTTGGACAACTGAGTACTTAGTGAAAGCTTCCATATTCACGTGTTTGAGTTGTTTGCTAGACTTTTAGAAGAAAGATAGAGATGCTATCTTCAATTACGAAGAAACAAGGAGAGAAGGAGGTACTGGTTTTTTTTCTGGTTTTACTTTACTTTTTACTCTCTGCTTTAAGAAAACAAACTGAACCACAGTTGAAGGACAAGGATTTTTCAGTTCTTGTGATTGGGATTGCTGGGGATTAGAAAGAAAACTTGTAGCTTTTTTGTTTATTTGTTTTAATCAACGGCTCAAGAGCCCTAGAAACAGTGTAGAAAGAACTGCTTCCTAGACAGAGAAACTAACATGCAGCCACGCTGGCTGCAAGCTGAGGAGCAAGTGTTAGACCTCGGGTGGACCAGTCTCAAGCATCCTGCATTTCGCTGCTCCAGTCAGCTTCCCTGTCGAGCTGATCACGTTAGGCAACAAATTGGGACTTCACACCGGCAGGTCGGGCTTGCTTTTGTTAAAGAGCAAAGCACACAGTGGAGTCCTAACCCCAGTGTGAGGCTTTTTCCCAGTACAGGGAACTGCAGCCCTTCAGCACTGTCAGCTGGCACTTTTCTACAGTAATGTTACAGAAATATGAAAATCTAAGCCACCAACTCCTCAGGTAGCTTAAGTCATCGAAGTTTGGAGTTTGGTTGCAGGCTTAAAGGGATGCTCTTGACTGGAAATGTTCTATGTATGTCTTATCTGGAAACTGTTGTTCATGCAATAGTTGGTACTAAGAAAAGCACACCAACTTTATGGTCATACCTGGCTATAGATCTGCTTTCTGAATTTTCACTGTGAAATTATCTGGTTAGCTCAGGCTCTTTCTGCATGAGAGAGATGCATTTCAAAGGCCTAAACCTGTCATTTTTCTTTACAAAAGGTTCTTTCTGTTGCCCTGAATTTGTAAAGAGCTTTGCAAGAACAGAGTCTATTAAATTAAGAAGGCTAGGAGAAAGATAAGAGAGAACAAGGGGTGTGGCAAGGAAATTATGAAGTAATAGCTTTAAAAAAACCATCTCTCTGTAGTATAGCCTTGGACTGCCTAAGAGAGGTAGAATCTCTATTTCAATATACTTGAGTCTGAAAATATAAAGCTGACAGCATCTCCTTAAAAGTAATAGTGTATATAGAAAAATAGGTGGGTTTCATATTATAGTTCTGCATCAATTTGTCTTTCTTTGATTTTGCTCCTCTATTCCAGGAGATATCCTGTATGATAGAGCACATAGCTCAGATTGCAGAGGGTCAAACACCCCACCAGCATGACTCCCAAACCAGAGCAGCTGCACCAGGGTCGGAGCTGGTCCAGCACCAGTTTTCAGAAATTATGTGAGAGGCAGTTCTACTTATTGTTTTTGGTGGGTGTTTCTGTAAACTGGAACTAAGAATTACAGAAACTAAACTTGCCTTCTTCATGGGGGGAGTTTTTTGTATGTGTTGCATTGGGTGTTTTTTTCTTGAACTGGGCCTGAGGCTAACCCTAAGGAGGAATAAAACTCTATCATCTGGTGGTTAGAGAGGACTTCCTTCCATCTCCCCACACATTTTTTTGGCACTGGCAGAGACATGGAATTTGGGGACTGGAAGGAGGAGGATGAGTCCTGTGTGTTGTCATTGGCAAAGTAGTACACGATGGCAGCGTAAGGGCAGGTGCATATAGGAAAAATGGATGTGATGATTCATTATTGTTGACATTATGCTGTGGTTTCTTCTGTGGGCTCTTCTTTAACTGCAAACAGAAGCAGTGTCCTGTACCTGAGACCTCCATGGCCCTTTAGCTCACACCATGTGCTCCTGGTGGTGTTGAGACCACTGGGGCAGAAACTCTGCTCCCTCCTGCTCTTAATTCTGGACAGCTCCTTGAGGAAAGCTGTTTGGCTTCATTCATTTCTGCCCTTTCATTTTCATCTTCCTTCTTTGGATGGGAAATATTTTTTGTGGCTGGATTCAAGCCAAGAATTTCTACCCGCAGCTGCCAACCCTGGCATCCCTACTGACCTGCTGGCTCCAGGTGAGTCAGTTCATTAGGATGAATCACTCTGCCCTATGAAAGTTTTAGGCTCCAGACTTCAGCTGGACCAGTCTTAATAATTTGGTTTTACCTGCTTTGGTTGTCACTGCTTCAACCACGCTGTCACTGCTGCTGGCTCCTCACTTCAGACTCGCTCAGCCTTTACAGCGGGGCCTCTGCTGGGGTGCAGTGCCCCTACACCTTGTGTAGCTGCTTTTGCTTCAGCGTTGTAACTTCTCCATGACTACTCATCCCCTTACCTCTCTTACCCGCAGAGGTGGAGGCAGGAGGGATTGCACCTCAGCCTGGGAATGTGCAGCCCTCAGTGCAGAGAGTACTTCAGACTCTGGAGGTGGAGAATATTAACATGATTCCACAGGAATGAAAAGGGGAGTGTTTTTGCATGGTAGTGGTGTTTGCATAAGCTTTTACTGTCATAAATAAGTAGATCAGGGTTGAGGGGACAGATTCTATATGAAAAACAGGGAATTAATTTTCAGGCTTCCAAGACAGGGCTGAGGAAAAGAAGTGGTGCTAAAAGATATGAATCTGGAAATGTCCCTTGAAAGTGACCTTTTAAAGATCAGTGATATTATTCTTGGTGTATAAGGCACTCAAGCTTAATGAAGGATTGGGAGGATTTGGTCCCAGTGAAAACAGAACGAGCGTGGGACTGTCAGATGGGAGGAATGTTAGCCCACTCCTTGGTGGAGTTGTTGCTTCTTTCTCCTGTTGTTGTTTACAGAGGTATTTGACAGAAGATACTTACTGGGGAGGGGAGAATAACCTTCCTCTTCTACTTCAATGTCGCTGGCTGTATTTTTCTCCACGGGGAAACCAAGTTCCAGCGCTCCAGTGGGTCATATCCTGAGTGTTTGTATCCAAAGTAAATCTAGAGCAAGTCCATCAACTTCAATAACATCTGCAATAAGCCACAACTGGCTCTTCCTGAACAGGGGAGAAATGAACAGCTGTTACTTCAGATGCTGATTTTTTTGGCATACTCATTCTTTTGAGATTTATAACTCTCTTATTCTCTGTTTGAGAATGTAGTGGAGCAATTGCTGATCCGTGCATGTGTCTATGTGAGCAAATGTCAATGGAGGAGTAATATGTATGGAAATCTTGCCTAGAGATATGGCAGGCCTGTTCTTAGATGATGAAATAACTGTACAAAAATATATCTCCTGAAATAATGATTGAGGGAAGAGGTAGGGGCAGGGGTGGGAGAAGTTAATATTTATAAGTAGTTTGCTGTACTTATACTACTTGTGGTACTTACTCTCCTGCAATTTTACTGCTTCAGACACTAGTTTTTCAGTAAGTGATGCTTAGTGCTGCTCAGGCATATGGGTTTCATCTGAGAGACCAGTCCAATTGCTGGAGCTAGCTGAAGAGATGGGAAACCTGCCCCCAAGTACCTTCTCTGTCACAGACTGGCCTGAGGTGGGTAGGCTAAGGTCAGTAACTCTTATAGATACCAATGAATCTGCCTCTCACTGAATCTACTTTTCTTCTTTCTAAAATGGGTTAGTAGAAGTTAGTTCTTTGTGGGGTGTGTTGGGAGCATAAATACAGCAAATGCTGAGGTACTTCAGAAAGCACTTAAGTATCTGGGACACGCTGGGATGGGATTCCCCTTCCTTCTTCTCTTCTGGCCAGAACTGACCAGCAGAAATGCTCAGTGCTTCTATAACCTTTTATTAACTTTTGGCTAAATTTCATTTGCCTCGGAATTTGTTTGCCATTGATAGGCTCAAGATTAAAATCTTGAACTACTTGCTTGTACTTTTGTCTTTTACTATAGAGCAGCTTAAAAAGTTGGTGACACTCCTTCACCCTTCTCCCAGGTAACATAATGCCTGTCCTGCCTTCTCTTTAAGAAGGTCTGCTTCTGGAAGGAATGCTGTACCAAATATATAACTTTATGTGGGGTGGTATAAATGGCTTATTGTATCTTCATCACTTCTCTTGACTGTATCTTCCTGGTTCTTGGTCTAGCCATGAATGTCACTGACAACTTCCTGGGGACTATTTTGTGTCTGAATGGTGACTTGTAAGGATTCAGGTGGTGGGCCAAACTGGTTTATGTAGTGAGTGGTGTTAGTCCACTGAAGACCAAACAGCTGCTTCAAGTTTCCATCACCTCCACTGAAAACAGGTACAACTGCATCAGCTTGCAACCAGTTTACAGTAAACCTACTCCTTGAGCTGTGGGCTAACCTGGTTAACTGTCTCCTGCAGTCAGGTCTGTTACTCTTGTATGTGAAAATAAGTCTTGGTGTGCTTTCTGACTTACAGTAGTGGAAATAAACCAAGAAGGTCTTTCATGTACAGGCTCTCTCACCGGCATATATTAGTAACGCTCATCAGCTTTTGACTGGAACTTTGATGGCATAATTACTCTAAAAGGGTAACATATTCAAAACTACCTGTGTGACTTTGGGAGTTAGATTCTTAAGAGTCTTAGTCATCATTTTAAACAAGAATCAGCTTTTTAAGCTACACATACTCCTGAAAGTTTTAAGAAAAGTCCTCTGTTTATCTTGTCTTTAAAAATGCCAGTTTCCAGAATGACAGTAGCAGCTCTGCCACTCAACTCATTTCAGATATTAAATAAGAATGTTGAAGAAACAATTAGAAAAATAGTGTGGTAAGTAGAGTCTCTTGGATAATCTTAATAGATAGGTCCAGGAGGTAAAAATGTACTTTTCAGTCATCTGACAGCAGGATGGATATGAGCATGCATTTTCAGCTATGTCTTTAGGACAGCTGAGAGGATGACTGATGTCTCAGCTATTGCTGTAGCAAAACATACATTTCTCCAGACGGGGTTTGGTGCACTGAATTCAAACAACTTGTGACTGGAACCGGGGCAAACATGGTTATCAGAAGAAACAGATAAACTAAGAAAACAGTCTTGCATGCTCCGTGTTTGTATACGTAAGGCTTCAATTTGCTGTTAATCCTAGGGTTCTTTTTGAGCAGTGATGGATTAGTCTTGATACTTGTGAAATTTTTAAAGCATTCCTGTAACACTTGTAATGCAAAACATATTTATTTTGCAACATACCTGTGAGATAGGGACCTGCGATTTATCACACTTGTACAGCTGGGGAACTGAAGTATTCACTAAAGCTAAACACAGCACACAGGATTGATCACACAGGAAAGCAGGACAGGCAGGAGGGTGCTAAAACAGGGTCTCAATTCCCATGGAAACCAACAAGCTCTGGTCCATGTTTTTCCCATCAGGTTCTTCCTTGGTGCTTCTGAGGCACCAAGGGGGCATTTGTTTGGCTACGCAATGTGGACTTAGGCTTTTCTAAGGAAGAAAGCTCAAGCCTGGTGATGGAAGGAGGAAGATGATGTAGGTCTGGAGGAAGATGAGGAATGGGGAGCATCTCCCAGCTAGAGATGTTGCCGCCACCCCCACTTCTTCAGTGAGTCTGACTTCCCCAATGCTGGCACAGGCTGCTTCCCAGCTAGTGAAACTATGTTCCTCTGGGCAAATCCCTGCTCTTCCTGTGCCCAGAGCCAGCTCTGCTCTTCTTAATAAAGTTGATATGAGTGGCTGGCCTGATGATGGAGCCTTCTGCCCAGCTCCACATCTGCTGTCACTTTGCTGTGTCTCTGTGCTGCCTGGGCTCCCAGAGGGAGGAGAGCCACCGCTACTCCATCTCTGCCTTGTGAGGGGCACCAGTGTTTTGGTTTGGGAGAAGTAAGCTGTTCAAAGCTGGCAAGAGGAATTTTGTGTTTTGGTTGCATGGTGAACAGTAACAATATGAGTTTTAGTGCTCAGAATGTATCCAAGTTTATAGGATGCTATATTTAAAAGGGAGAAAAAATGAGTCATGGGGAGCTATGCTAATGCTAAGTATTTATGTCTACCTCTTGTGAGGCTGAAGGCAGCGGGAGTTGAGCAACATGCTTGGGAAGTGTCTAGAGGATTTACGGATCAAAGTAAAGCCCAATGAAGTCAGCTGTAAGTCCTGCTGTGCCTTGCTGGAGGCCCATACCATCTACTGTGTGTTGGGTACAGTGAAATAGTCTTCTTGGAAAACTTGGGAGTGCTCAGTGCTGTTGAATTCCCTGGGCTTGGGCAGAAGCTTGACTACCTCCCAGTGGATACTGCGCTGCTGCTGGAAAGTCACACCTGGGTCACATCCAGGGGAGGGATGTCACTGCTCCTCTTGGGCCATGCCTGCAGCACTGCAGGAACGGGTACCTGCATCCTGAGTGGGAGCAGGCAGAGCCTGGGCATGTCTTACTTCTTGTGCTCCTCCACAAGAGCTACAGTCCCAAGGAGATGTAACATTGGGGTCTTCTGTGGCACAAGCTGATGGAGCTTTCCTTTCAGAGCCAGGGACACAGGCATGTCAGGGTTGAGATATTCACTTATGGCATGTCTTGACACTGATTCAGTTGGTGCTTGTTTTATTTAGAAGTTCCTTAATGAAATAGCAATCTATTTGAGAGTGCCAGTGAATTCAGCTTTCCAAGTGTCAGCATGGCTCAGTTCCTGTCACAGGTAGAGGAAGGACTGGGACTAGGATTTCACTGCTGGGTGAGCCAACAACAGAGTATGGAGATGGACTCTGTGAACAAACCCTGATAGCACCATGTGCCCAGAAAATGAAGATTTGGTAACAGCAAGGGGCTCTGCAGCTCCTGTTTTGTCCACTTATTGAAAGGAGGAGTTTTTGGAGTGAGCAGAAAATAATTATTAAAGTGAAATCTTCAGCTTTATTGGACTCTTTTTGGTTGTTTTCTTAGGATTTGGATTTTTTTAAGACTTGGTCATATCAGTATGAAAATGAGCGTGTTTAAGTTTCCTTCGATGTATTTTTCAGTGGTACACTACTGCAGCCTGTTCTGCTTTTCAGTGTAAGGGGTGCTCTGGTTGGTGGAAACAAATTCTTGCTCATCTTGCAAATGTAAGAGGGCTTGAATAGGGATCTGCTATTTGCGTTGCTGGAAGCACATAGCCTAATGGTGAG